CTATAGTCAAGGATGAAGCTGAACTTCCGATCCTCCTGTGTCTACCTCTTGAGTGATGAGATTATAAGTGTGTAGCAGCAGACCCAGTTTCTGCGGCTCTGTGTTTTCGAGGCAAACACTCCTACTAATTGAGCTACAGTCTCTTTCATGTGAGAGAACTGAGCAAAATTTCAAAGACAATGGAAGAAGTCTGAATAATTTATACAGATACATCTCTTAGGGACAGTAGCATGACTCCCATCTCTTAAGTGTGGGCAACACTTAGAGATGTGGTTCCAAAAAGCACAACATGGGAATAGAGGAAGTAAGACAGGAAGTTTGCAGGAGAGAGGCCTCCTAGGTATGGTTAACACCAGCAGGGAGGGCAGGGTGGCACACACTCTCTGGAGGCAGCGCTGAGAATGGCCCTTCCCCTCTGTGGTCTCCCTCCCTCAACCTAGAACCTCAGTCTAAACACAAGGAAAACATTGAACAAACTCGAACCATGACATACTCTACAAAATATGTAACCACGATGCCACAGAACTGTCAGAGCCTCTGCCCACAAGGAAAACCTGCCCAGTGGAACCTAAAGGAGACATCGTGACTAAGTGTGATATTGTAGTGGTTAAACTATGCCGTCCCCCACCCCCAGGAGCTCAAGCCCTAATCTCCAGCATCTGTGAGTGTACCCTTATTTGGAAGCAGAGTGCTATGGTTTGGATCTAGAGTATCCCCCAAAGGCAATGTGTTAGAGGCTTGGTCCCCAGCCTGGGGAATGGGACCACGTGGGAAGAAGGTGGTTCACTGGGGAGATACTGCACTGGAGAAGATATAAGAACCCTACCAGTGAACCTGGACAACAGAGCCAAAGGACCACAGACCAAGCCCTCTGCAACCACGATCCCAAGTAGGCCTTGTTCCTAGTAAGTGGGTTATCCCAGACAGTTTGTCATCTGACCAACACATAGGTCCTGCAGGTGTAAATTAAGGATCCAGGACGATTTCATCCTGGATTTAGGTATGACAGGGACATCTGAGACTCTCAGACCCAGAGACACTGATGGAAGAAAGCACGTGAAAATGAAGGGATATTAGATTCCTGCTCCTGCAAGCTGGGAAGGACTGGAGTCTGCAGGAGCTGTGAGTGGGCAGAGAGGGCGCCTCCCTTCCCGGTGGGGTTTAGCCAGGCCTGCCTGGCAGATGGCCGACTTCTGCCCTCCAGACCCCTGAGAATAAACCCTTGTTGTAAGGCAACAACTCTGTGGCACTCAGTTAAGGCAGCCCTAGGAGACTGATATGGGCATCCTGGAAAGAAAAAGGACAACAGTGTGGGGGTCCCTGGTACCACACAGCCAGCAGAGTAATGATTAGCAGCAGGCAAGACTAAGAAGCCAGTGTTGGGGGAGTCTGACCCCGGGTAAGTTTATCTTAGGTATATTTATGTACAGCACAATTTGGAGAAGCTTTTCTGCTGATAATTAAATCAATCCTGTATGCACAATAAAGCTTACGATGTAGCCGGGTGGTGGTAGCGCAAGCCTTTAGTCCCAGCACTTGGGAGGCAGAGGCAGGCAGACCTCTGTGAGTTTGAGGCCAGTCTGGTCTACAGAGTGAGTTCCAGGACAGCCAGAGAAACCCTGTCTTGAAAAAAAAAAAGCTTAAGCTGTGACTACATCAAAATTCTATGTAAGTACATGTGGCACCTTCCTTAAAGATGAGTTCTATAGATTGACTGCATGTAACACCTTCATAAATATAGGTTCTATAGACTGACAAGCTCATGATAAGGGTCTGAGGGAGGATTTGGTGTGGTCTCAGTCCAAAGGTCGCCAGGCTGTTAACCACATCCCTCCCTTTGAAAGGACAACCCTGTGTGTTTAACATTCCTGGTTCCTCAAGTGATTTCTGTGGGCACAAGGATCTCTGTGCCTCCTGTACATCAGGGAAAGACTAATGAAGGCCAAATCATATATGGAGTTCAGGTCCTCGGGCATGGTGGCCTCTATTTCATATTCTTGAGAGAATCTCATTGTGCAATCCAGACTGGCTTCAAACTCAATCCTTTTTTCTTGGCTTCCTGAGTGCTGGGATTGTAGTTTTATGCCTCCACTCCTAGAGTCCTAAAAGTCTGTTTAAAAAGAAGACATGGAGAGGAACCCCGTGTGGATAACTTGTAATGTAGCCTGGAGAATCTCTGCCCTTGACAATGCTAACCCAGGACAGCACTGGTATCTTTCTGCCCCCTTCCCATGACCCCATGCTCACCTTTGCCTCCCCTTACTAATTCAAGTGCATGCCTTCAGCTGACTATGAATGAGATCTGACCTCTTTCCAACCATGTGGTAAGTATCATCAACATGAAATTACCTATGACTCACAACTAGTGAGCCCCAAGTTTTTAGACAGGACCTTAAACATCATTTTGAGGGTGACCACACCCCCCACCTCCCAGTATTTCTGAGAAATTTTACGCCCATGGCATGGATGGTGTCTGTCACCACGTTTTGTTTTTGGTTTTGTTTTTGGTTTTGTTTTTTATGTTAATTTTAAGACTCCACTCCTAAGAGTGATTCATGGATTGAACAGGACCAAACGCCTGACCCTGGAAGAGCCAAGTTCGTGTATTTGCCAATGGCCTTTCAGATTCGTGAAAAAGAATATGAATTATAAAACCCAGAGGCAGAGAGCTGGGAGCTGAGTCACCACCACGGGGCTGTCTGTGAGCTGAGCTCACCCCCCATCCTGCACAGGGCTGTCTGAGAGTTGAGCTCACCCCCCATCCTCCTGCTGCTTACTTGCTCGCTTTGATTTGAAGGTGATGAGAGTCGAGTTGTTGCTTAGGTTTTGTTTTTGAGGCAGGTTCTCCCTCTCTTCTTTACAGAAATTTCCTTTAACCTGGGTAAATGGAAGAAGACTTTGTAACAGAGGGACATTGTTTAGAGTGTTCACTTGGTTAGCCTGCCCTTGTGCTGCTTGGAATCACGTGGCTATTTAGTCTTCCCTTAAATCCCATCAAAGACAAGACCCTCTTGGGGCAGCCCATTCCATACTGGAGAACTCTACATCTTAGATCTCCTGGGGTTTTGATTTCACATCAAGAAATGTTCTGTTTTGATCTGTCTTGCTTTTCTGGTTTGTTCAAGGAGACAACCTCATCTCCTGGCTATAACTACGTTCTTTTTCTCTAGTTACCGAAGTTCATTAATCTGATACCCTCTTATTTTATTGTATTGTATTTTTTTCTTTTTGAGGTTTTGAGACAGGGTCTCATTCTGGATTGGTACTTACTAGGTAGAACAAGCTGGCTTCAAAGCCATGGAGAGCTTCTTGTCTCTGCCTGCTGGGTGCTTGGACTCCGGACCTCTACTGCCACACCCAACTCTTAAAGACGTATTATAGGCACAGTCTAGTCCCCCCCCACATCATAGTTCTTCAACAATTTAATTTTTTATTTCAATTTTTCAAATTTACTTTTATTTGTCTGCGTGTGAGCGCATGTGCAAGGAAGGGCGCATGTGGCGGTCAGAAGACGACTTGCAGGAAACAGTTGTCTTCTCCCACCGTGTAGATCACAGGGATCAAACTCAAGTCAGGCTGGGCAGCGAGCAAGCAAAGCTTGGCCATCTCATCAACGAGTCCCTTCTTCAAAGACGGTGACTGTCCAGGCTTCCCTTCCCTGAGGCAGGGGCCTTTAGCTCTTCCAACCGTTCCTCAAGTAACACATAGAAAATGTGATTTTAGCTGTTCTGCATTTCAATGCAGGCAACCTATGAGTCACGAGCAAGTCCGAGATGAAGCCAGTGAATAGTGTGGTGAAGATGACCTCATGGGTGTAACCAAGATGATGTAATGGGGCTAAAAACTGGGGATGGCCTTAGCAGGGTTCTCAAAAGAACAGACTTCTTAGGAATAGTGTTGAGAGTCTGGGGTTGCTCCTGAAGTCCTTCATCCTCGGGGCATGAATGCTGAAGGTGAAACTGGGGAGGGACCATCATTGTGGGACAAAGTTCTGGCTTAGGTTACACAGGGGACTGGAGATACGATAGTGCAGGAGTGGAGTGGATAGAACCTTCTATATCAGGATGTCCTGCTAGCTTGACTGCCTTTTAAGATCATAACCAATTCCTAACTTACCTGGTAGGTAGTCACTTTATGTTCCCAGCGGTGATTGCCACTTTGGACAAGTTCTGACGAAGCAGGAGTAAGTGGGCCAACAAGGACTTTATTTTATTGATAGTCGTGTGTGTATGTGTGTGTATATGTGTGTGTGTCTGTGTGTGGGTGTGTGAACATGAGTGCAGGTGCCAGCAAAGGCCAGAAGAGGGCTTTGAATCTCCTGACACTGGATTTATGGGAAATTTAAGTCACCTGGTACAGTTTCTGGGAATTGAACTCAAGTCCTTTGCAAGAGCAGTGAATGCACTGCTGAGCCATCTATCCAGCTCCCAAGGGAGAATTTATGACTGGATGAAACGGGGCAGCTGGCATGGATAGGTACTTATCCCACACTTGAGGATACAGGCTTTCAGGAAGGACACTGGGAGGGAAGCCAGGTGCTCAACAGAATCCTGCCCCGCTCTGCCAGAACAACACATCTCACAGCAGTGACAGGAGAAATAACACAGCTGCAAATGGATATCAAGGACCTTCCAGTCAGCTAAGAGTTTTAATTAGCATGTGCATGCTCACACACATACACACACACACACACACACACACACACACACACACACACCATTGTAAGTATAGAGTTCGGAGAATAGTTTGCAAGGGCCAGTTTTCTCCTTCCATCGTGTGAGGCCCAGAGATAGAACCCATGCTGTTAGACTTGGCAGCAAGCACACCCCACCCCCACCCCCTGCCCCCACCTCCCGGGCATCTCACTGGCCCAGATAATAATCTTTAAGGTTTTAGGCACCACAGTCTGACTAAAGGACAGTGGCCAGAAAACATAGCGAGAGGGTATCTAATGGTCACTGTGACTTTTCCCCTTTGGTAACAGCTGTAGTCCAGAGGTGTTCATGGTCGCTGTTCTTTTTTTATTTCAATTTGACACAAGGCAGCGTTATCTGGGAAGAGGAACAGCAGGTGAGAAAACTCCCCCATCAGACTATCTTGGAGGTAAGTATTTGGGGAACTTTTTTAATTAATGACTGATGTGGAAAGATACAACCCACTGTCACCAGTGCTGTCTCTGGGCTGGTGGTCCAGGGTTCTACAAGAAAGCAGGCTGAGAAAACCATGGAAAGCAAACCGATGAGAAGCATCCATCATGGCCTGGGCTTCAGTTCCTGCCTCTAGATTTGTTTTTTTTAGTCACAGCGACAGAAGGGGGAAGGTTTTGGAGCAAGGCTTCAGAGGCATCTGTCTGTCTGAGGTGGTTTGGTCTGATGGTCTTGGGCTTCTGTTGAAGCAGAGCATGACCCAAAGAAAGCATGGTGTGGCAAAGTTGCTCACCTGGTGGAGAGGAAACACAGAGATAGGCAGCCGTCAGGGACAAGGTGTACGCTTCAAAGGCTCACCCTTTGTTTTCGCAAAGGTGACCTGCTTACTCCAATCAGATCCTACCGCCTAGGATCCACCTTCCAATAATGGCATCAAATTAGAATCCATCAATAGACTGATTCATTGATGAGGTTACAGGTCTCAGGATTCACTTACATTGTAATGATTGGCTCTATCTAAAGGCACCAAACCGTCCACACACCAGCCTTTGGAGAGAGACTCCAGAAAGAAAACCTAATAGACTGTTTATACAGTCTAACAGTCTAGACCAGCAGTTCTCAATTCCTTTGGGAGGTTGAAGGAGCCTTTCACAGGGGGTCGAACATCAGATATCCTGCATATCAGATATTTATATTACGGTCCATAACAGTAGCAACATTACAGTTATGAACTAGCAATGAAATAATTTTGTGGTGTGGAGTCACCACAACATGATGAACTGTATTAAAGGGTCGCACGCAGTACTAGGAAGGTTGAGAACCACCGGTCTAGACTAACAGGCTGTCTAGACTAACAACAGGCTGTTTGGGCTAACAGGCTGTCTAGACTTCATGTGAGAGGAATACTTGGCTGACTAGCAACTGGCCACAAACTACAATCACCTGAGCAGGAAGTCTCACCTGAGGAAGATCCACCTCCAATGTGGGCAGCACCTTCTGGCAGAGGCCCTGGTAAAACAGGACCAGGCAGAAGGAACCTCTCACTTGGTTGGCCTCTCTTGCATCTCGGTTGATCTGCCTCGCTGTTGTTTGGTTGCTGCCATGGCGGCTTGTAGGCTCTCCAAGAAGCCTCCAGGTTTTCGGAACCTGATTGGGACTGCTGAGCAAGCCGGTTCTCAGTGTTCCTCCACGGTCTCTGTCTCCAGGTTCGTGGCCTGACTTCCCTCAAAAATGGACTGTGAATTGGAAGTCTAAGGTGAAATAAAGTCTCTCCTCCCCAAGTTGCTTTCGGTTAGAAGACTTTATCAGAGCAACAGAGAAGCTAACTAGGCACTGGTCTACGGGGAAGCTTGACCCAATCAACCAGTCAAACACCTGTCATCTCCTGGTGGTGATCAGCAAGGTGTCACCAGAAGAAGAGACTCAGTTCCCTCAAGAAGCCCGCCCTCCTGCCAACCCTTGAAAATTATGTTCAGAGCCACAGGAACAAGGAAGACAAAGACAGTTCCCCGAGAACTGTTTGGAACAGGGTTCAAATCCCCACACAGCCATGTTGCCGCCTGACTCTGCACAAACACCTTTGCAAGGTAGGACTCCTCGTTTCTTCTCTGTGTGTAAGACAGGTGCTGCTCCACAGATCAGGGCTGCTCTTGCCGCACACAAAGCTGCAGACTCCAAACTGCCAGGCAACCCTGTGTGCAATGACTCTGCATGTCCAAATGGTTGAGTGTGGTGGAGGTCTCCAGGTCACAAGGCTTCTTCTGGCTACTCAGCTCCGTCTGACACCAAGACCGTTTCCCCTGCATAGTTTCTTTTTCTCTCTCCTGAAAGACAGAAGTGCTTTAGGAATGAGAAACCAGTGCCTAGTATGGTAGCTCATGCCTGGAATCCCCACATTTAGGATGAGTTCCAAGGCCAGCCTGGACTACCTTTTGTGTATGTTGAGGTGTGTGATAACTGTCTAAAAACAAGGGGAGGACTCCCACCTCCTGGCTTGATACTAGGATTCACTTGGTGGAGGAAGGGACCCATTCGTGGGGGTTGTCCTCAACTTCCTCACTAGTGCTGTGAATTCGGTTTTTATTTCTTGAAACACCTGTCTCATTAAGATTCTTTTGTACTTTTAGAGGACGCACTTATTTATATTCTCACCCAGCTTTTTTGTTTTGTTTTGTTTTGTTTGTTTTTCAACATAGGGTTTCTCTGTATAACTGCTCTGGCCGTCCTGCAACCTGCTCTTTAGACCAGGCTGGTCTCTAACTCACAGAGCTCTGCCTGCCTTTTCTTCCCAAGTGCTGGGATTAAAGGCGTGTGTCACCACCACCTGACTCTCCTCCTTTTTACATTAATTAATTAATTAATTAATTAATTAATTAATTAATTTATTGTCAGTGGGCTCAATTAGAGAAGAAACAAACTACATCAAAGCATGCCACTTTCAGGGAACTGTTCTTGGGCAGTGCCTGGAGGGCAGCGAGCTCTAATCTGCTTTGTTCGTGCCTACAGTTTGCCTTTATTTTGGTATCAGCTGCTCTGAGCCAGTGTGTGGCCCTAGGGTATGAATAGAAGCCAGAGGTAAGGATTTGTGACGGCCAATGTAGAAAAGGCTGTGGGACAGTTTGCCATTCAGCTAAAACTGGAATGAGCTTGCAGAAGTTGTGTCTGCAGCTTTGACCACACTAGTGTTTTCACTAGTTACAAGGCAGGTCGCAGTCATAGTCATTGTCTTTCTTATGAGGAGAGCGGGCTGTGCCCTGTCCTGCCCTGCTACTCCATGTCATATACAACAGCAGCCTACAAAGCAAGTTTGCTCCATTCTGAAGGCAAGAGTTAAGGTGCAAGGACTCTTGCGTGTGGTTTCTGTAAGTAAACAGCCATCATTTGTTGAGCACAGTCACAAGGCACAGACTAGTAACTTAGTTATGCAAATAAAAATTACCAAGTTAAATTAAGGACATGTGTACCATGTCGAATGCATGAGGGCCGAGATTCCATCCCAGCACTACAAGACAAACAAAAATGTTTGCTTATAGCCAGATGGTGGGGACTATAAGCCTGCACTCGTGAGGCAGAGGCAGGTGGATCTCTGTGAGTCCAAGTCCAGCCTGGTCTACAGAGTGAGTTCCAAGACAGCCAAGGCTATACAAAGAGACCCTGCCTGTCTAGAAAAACAAAAACAAAACAAAACAAAAACTGTTGCTTACAAAAAGCAATCCTTTACCCTCAGGCTTCTAGTGCCACTTTGTGGCCTTCGACGCCACCACCCCTTGTTTAATTAGTTTGGTTTCGCCTGCTTTTCATGCTGGTTACCTTCTTCAGATGTATAGTACATTTTGGTTTTGTATATGGACAATAATGAGTTTTTGGGGGATTGTTGGAGTTCTGGGGGTGAGCATGGAGAGGGGGTAAGGCTTAGTGACTAGTTACTAATTGGGTTGCGACCATCCATTTCACCAGATGCCAATACCTCTTGGTATCTTTTGTAGAGTTCTTTTGTTTCTTCAGTGGAAGTCTTCCACCTGAGGGAGAAACTTAGGGAGGAGAGATTTTTGACTCTTTAAAAAAAATGTATTACTCTGTGTGTGTGTGTGTGTGTGTGTGTGCGCGTGCACACACACACACACACACACAAAGGTATGGACACACACACAGATGGCAGAGGACAACTTTGGAGGTTGGTTTCTTCCTTCTACGAGGTGGGTCCCAGGGACTCAACTCAGGTCATCAGGCAGCAAGCACCTTTACCTGCTGAGTCATCTTGCCAGCCCACCAATGGATTCTTCAGCACTTGCATATGAAATGGAAACAATCAACCCAGAGCTCTCTACCCTTACTGTAGCTGACTCTCTTAGGTCTGCTGCCTAGCTGTCACCCAGCCTCCTGAAATGCACGAAAAAGGGGGGGTTAGCGGCCAACACAGTTCATAGTCCCCCCAGTCCTCTTAATGCACTGCCCTGCATCCCCCTTCCACCTCCGGCTCCCTGTCTGAGACAGGAAGGCAGAGCCAGGCAGTTACCTGGCACTGAAGGTGCCCTCAGTAACCGTTAACCTCCATTCCTCAGCTCCAGCGTTCTGCTGTCTCAGCCCCGCCTCCTCCCGCCTCTTCATCATCTTCAGACGAGATCGGGCGCGTTCAGGGTGGTATGGCCGTAGACCTTCATCATCTTCAGAATGCTACTGATCTTACCTGTGTCATACTCTTCTTCTCTTGGCCTTTATTGGTTTATGAATCTTTGCCTTTAATGTTTTTTAAAGCGAGGGTTTTGAGAAACAATGTGTGCGTTGATCCACTGTTTGACTGGCAGGTCCAGAATCTCCCTTGCAGGAATAGAAGAGATGGGGAGAGGAGTGGATGGGTTTCAGAGCCAGGCAGAGCTAGGTTGTATGACGTGACCACTTCATGGTATGGTTAAAGGAAGATTTTTATTGTTGGGATGACAGAGAGAACATCCAGAGGCATCTGGAAGAGTCCAGAACAGAGAGAGAAAGTAGTAGACTGACCTGGCTATGAGAGACACAGGAACAGAGCCCAGAGAGAAATAGAATAGCCAAAATAACAGGGCTATAGGGAGAATGAGTTGTTGTGGGATATTTTGATCACACTCTGACTCCTGAGACTGCTAATGAAGTTAAACCTTGAATCAGAGGGTGGGCGGAGTCAACATCCAGCTGGCCAGAATTAACCATAGAGTTTTTGGCCAACCCAGATTAGGATAGAGAGACCCAGAAAGGAATGGGGAGGGGCTTAGAAAGATTTGAAGGCCTTTTCCATCTGGGAAGGTGGAGAGGAGGGTTAGCTGATCCTTTCTCTGTTGCTCTGTGGATCTATTAGGTTTATACCCTAATATCTGACTCCAGAGTTTTATTTAATAATAGGACAATAAAAGAAATCTCTTCAGTGAGCAGCTAGGGAGGGAGGGAAGCCAGTGAGCTGGAGGGAGTTTAGGGTAGGGGAGGAGGTGAGGAGGGCTAGGATGCTACCAGGGGTGGGGGGGGTGGGGGGAGTTCAAATGTGTACCAAGTATTTGTGATACTGAGGGAAGCTGGCCGCCAGCATGTGCTTTAGGATGCTAATAGGCCCCACCACAGCCATTTGTCCCTACTGCCTTTTGGGATTTGGCAAAACGGAGTTTCTTTGGAACCTGACAGAGGTGAGTTCCAGTTTTACTTCAGGCTTCTGTGTATCTTTGGGTAAGAAAATGAACTCTGAGCCTCCAGTGTCCTCGATTCTGAAGTAAGGAGAGCACCACCTTTAAAGGGCATCGTGACCGTGGACTCTGGTAAAGCAGAAGGGTTTGCTCAAGCCTCTCAGTACAAGGCCATGCTCGGCATTGTTGACCTAACCTGCTTAAAAGACCAGCATGACTCGGAAAGTCTCTGCTTTCCTCCCAAATCCCAGGACAAAGGTAATTCGTCCAGCACAGCCACAGTCACTCTGGCTGACTCAGGCCACAAGAAGGGAATCTTTTTTTTTTTTTTTTTTGGTTTTACGAGACAGGGTTTCTCTGTATTGTTTTGGAGGCTGTCGGTCCGGCCCGGCCTCGAACTCACAGAGAACCGCCTGCCTCTGTCTCCCGAGTGCTGGGATTAAAGGCGTGCGCCACCACCGCCCGGCACAAGAAGGGAATCTTGATGGTTGTCAATGAGATTGCATGACTTCGTGAAAGTTGACAGATGTAACCACAGTCTACTGCTCCAGGAAGATGCCCGGGTGAGAAAGTCTCAAGGCCACCAGGTGAGGGTCCCAGATGAGAGAGCCAGAAAGTATGTGAGATTGTCAACAGAACCTGTGACAGTATGAGACAATTCCTCCATCCCATGGCAGAGGCAAGATGACTTATGGAGATGCTAAGTTGTTTTCATAAGCTTCCTAATTCCTCTTCCCCACAGAGTCAATCCCCAGATATTTCCTTGCCTTGCTTATTTTCTGTGGCCACAACCCAGAACCCAGAAACCGCAATTGGTGAATCTTACTTTAGCAAGAACCCTGACTTTACGTTCTGAGAGGTGTCCTGGAGGGAGAAAGATGAAAGTGTGGCCCTTGAGAGCAGCGAGGAGAGAGTGAGACTTTGCCACAGAAGAGGGAAGGGCAGAAAGTGACTCCAGCTGGAAATCGAGGAAAAGCATCTGTCCCCTGATTGTAGGCAGTGCTGGAAAGAAGGGTCTGTGTGGTACACCCAGGGAGGCTGGACTTCTGCAAGGAGCTGTGTCCTCCTCTGCAATTCCCACGTCTCTAGGAGGACTCCTGATCAGCAGAGCAATGTCCTTCTCCGGGGTGACCAACTTGTTCCACGTTGCCTGGGGCTTTGTTGGTTTTAGCACTGAAAGGCCCGAAGAATGGGAAGTTGCTCATTCCTGGGCAAATCAGCTGACTTGGTCACATTCACCCCTTCTGGCTAAACAGAGCATGTGCTGGACACTATCCTTGGCTCCATGAAGCGGAAGCCACCACATGTTACAATCTCTGCGAGTATGGCACATGAGTATACACGAGTATAGTTCTATGCAGATCTCCAATCCATTGTTTGTCTGAATAAAAATAAACCAAGGGAAGCTTCTGTCATTTGGAGTGTTTGCCACAAATTGC